AAAAAGACTGAGTAAAAATAAGTTTACCTATAAAATTTTCAAAATACTAAACTGGGGGGTGGCATTTGTACTAGCAGCTAAATGCTAGTTGGGATGTGTATTCCATATCAGAATGCCTGGGTTTGAGTCTTCCTTACTCTCCAATTCCAGCTTCTTGCTAACGTTCACCCTGGAAGGCATTTGGTGATGGCTTCAGAAGTTCAATCCCTGCCACCACCATGTGGGAGACCTGAATTGAAGTCCTAGCTCCTGGCAGTCCCAACCATTGTAAGCATTTGCAGAGTAAACCAGCAGATAGTATCTCACTTTGTGTCTGCCTGTCATTCCCGCTTTCACCTCTCTGCCTTTTTAATAAGTAAAATGAATATTTGGTTAAGTAAAATAAAGACCATGTTGTTCTTTAATAAGCAATTATTATATACTCCAAGTAGTAAAACATGCTAATACAACAGTTCTACAAATCACTACAGGGAACGTGTTTTATTCCATATTCTGAAATACACCTTCCTACATTGACTCTTTATGACAAGGAATAAACATATTTTTAAAAATATTTATGCATGACACAATGTAATAATCACCAAAATTTTATATAATGTCCTAACTTTCTAAATTAAAACTGCCTGTATCTTTGAACAGTGTATTTGGAAGATGTGATCTTCCAATGTGTAAGAATAATTCAACAATAGAGACTTCCCAATATATCCAAAAGTACAGAAAGTTTTATTTTAACTACCATTGGTAATTACGCAAGCTCATACATAAATCATTTATTTTTTCTAACTAATTAGCATGCATTTCAAACCAAAACTAATTAATATAGTCTAATGAAAAGGCAAAATGTATTGGACAAATAGACTGAGAAGTAATAAATACTCATCATATCCATTTATAAATGTACAAAAGATATTTCAGGTTTCCAATGGAAATATTGTCTGTAGAAATATGCTTTTTCCTCTAAAAAAAAGTTTTCCTCCAGATGATATCACAGGAGGATATCATATACCTTCCATTCAGATCCAATGCATTAAAATGAGAGTTATGCTCAACTTTGCTAAAGTAAAACAAGATAACATCTTTAAAAAAAATCCTTTTCCTTTGATTAAAGCATGACAAGCAAATAAAAGGATAATTTGAATTCTTATCAGGAAGGCACTTAAAAATGTATAAATTCATACGGGAAGGTTGAATGAGAAACAGATTGAAAAAGTTAGCTTACAAAATGTGCAGACACTGGAGGGATATAAATGAAAAGGTTCACAGTTTTGTTTCCAAAGAAGAATAAACCTTTTCAACTGTTTATGCAATGGAATTTGCTAGTAATGTAAGAATTTATTCTCATTAAAATAACTATAAAATTATTTTTTAAAAGTTATCTGATATTTATACATTGACCAGATTCTCCAGGTCTAGAACCATTAGGAAATAAATCATGAACAATGTGGTTCTACCATCTTCTCTTCTCTGCCACTCATAACACAATAACTGAGATCTTTCCCTCACTACAATATGCATCTTGAACATTGCAGAAAAGGTTATTGTTTCCATCTATAGATTAGAATGCCTTGTTAGGAATCAAACAGCATATTTATCAAATGTAGTGGCAATCAAAGTTTATATTTAATAACAATGGCAACATTAACTTATGTTTATAGAAAACTACAATGTAGACATTCATGAATCTACTTAAATCTAAGTTTAAGTAAGGAAGGTATCAAGTGTTTCTAAATTGAATATATGCATCATTAAGCATTAAGAAGTCCCAAATAGTTCAAGTGAATTCTTCACTAATAATGAAAAACATTATTAGAAGTAAGGGACATCTTGACATTTAATACCTTGTTTCACTAACCTTAAAGAGCAAAATAAAATAATAAAGGTGTTGAAATTATTAAGTCTTCTATTTAAGCTAAACTAAGACGACGATTTACAAAATGATAGACGTAGTTAGTAGATAACAGAATGAATTTCCTGTAAGTATTTTAACTACAGTCAAGGAAAGTTTTGTGTTATTTGATTCTATTCTCAAAAACAGATATGCTGACACTCTGGAAACAGAAGTATATCATTTGACCTTTAAACTTCTGTTTCATTAATGTAACCACAAGCAACAGAGTCACTGACTGGCATGTTTGCACTTTTAGGCCTTTAGCACTTAAAGTTATTTGATAACTGTTACACCACTATTTGCTTTTTATTACAGACACTTTCACGAATATGTTACATTAAAAATCGAATATTTTGTGTACAGCTTGATAAATGATAAAATGTGATTAAGTGTTCTAAGCACTCTATTCATGCACTTTGATAGGAAGGATTTATATGCCTGAAAAGCAGATTTTTTGCTTGATTTGTTTTCAAATGAATTAGAGAATAACATCAAGTTTGGTTTTAAGTATATAAAATAAAAACAAAATATAACTCTGACATAATAAATGAAAAATATTCCACCTGAGTGACCTACATTCAATAAGTCCATAAACTCCATCTTTATTGGCCTATGAACAGAGCAAACAGCAGCTGCAGAAGAGTCAAAGAAAAAAATAATGATACCATTAAACAATTTTTTTAAATAAAAACAGAATTTCGTGTGAATAAATATATTGTTTCAAACCTATGGATGAGCTAAAAGCTCAACAATTCTGTACTTAGAGAATTATGGAGTTATAGTAAGGAAAAAGTAATTCAGATCTTTTTTCTGTATCACATGACAAAAATGATTATTGACTTAAAAACTGAAAACTAGTAGGTCAGAAACATCACTGAGAGGACAAGGAGATGGTATACTCTTTAAGAAGTTTAAAAGTCAGAAGTTTCCTAAACCAAGATGTTACAAAACTCAGGATATAACACAATTATGGAGAAATGGAGGCAGAGTGCACACAAAGTAAGCAAGGACTGCACCAAATCAACAACATTGGAAGGATATTGTCCCCATACATTAGGGAAGCTCCACTGTTGGAAGTAATGAGTGCACTAACACAGACTTCCTGGAAGCAGAATGTAGTCCACCTATTTCAATTACCCATAGCATGTATTAGACTGTTCAGTAAAACACAAAATGTCAATAAATATCACCAACAGAAGCAGTGTGCCAAATCCCTGTTGAAGATAGTTAAGGCTTACTACAAATAAGCAATATGCTGCTATCCACATACATTCTAGCTCTCATGATGCACATTCATGCAGCCTCTGAAGGCAGTGTTTTGTTCTTAGCACTTTTGTTCAAACTTCTAAAACAAACTTAATAAAAACAGCAAATACAGGTTTAGCTTATATCCTCTGTGTGACAGAGTCCTTCACTGGTACCAACAATGAAAAGTTAATTTACTAGCATATAACAAGAATATGTGCTACTTTTATGTGCACACAATTGTACTCAAAACAAAGATAACATCCATTACAAAAATACATTACTAGTATATAACAGAAATTCACTGCTACTAACTCAAATCGGGAATTATGTTTCAGAAGTGGAAGTCATATACCACACCCACCTCACTAAATTTAAAATCTGTTGCATGATTCAAGCAGAAACATACCTCACTCTCTTCCACCTTACACATGCCATGTACACTGATTTTGTGCAATCCACACTTACAAGTCAACTACCACCCAGTGGAGAGAAAAAATATCTTTCAGGGCGATGTGAGGTGTATATCAGGTGTAGGTGTCAGGGAGAACACAGAGTGGTGGGAAATGATGGAGTAAGGGCCTTTAGCCTTGTTTAGCTCTAAACACTGCTGATCATTAATTTCTATTTTCCCAAGAGAGGAAATGTTTGCAGAAGCTCCTTCTGTGGCACTGCTTGGGGGTAAAACTAGGCTATGCAGGTTCATGAGTGGCAAATCATTTCAATGCCGGAGCCGAGGGAAAAGAAGGGAAACAGCGAGGATGAGGGAAAGAAAACTGTGAAGACAGAGGAAGGAAGGTGGGTGGGAAGGAAGAGGGGAGAGAAATAAAAGGAGGGAAGGAGGGGGTAGAGAGCGCGCACAGAGGCAGCCTGTACACATGTGTGAGTGACAGTGTGGAACAGGGAAGGAGTGGATGCGTTTCAAACAGTGCGAATCTGCATGTGAAAGTGGTTGTTAGAGCATGGAAGAGTCAGCCTGCGAGGGTGTCAGAGAGTGTGTGAGGCAGTGTGCTTATGGGATTGAGAAGATGGTACTGGAGTGGGCAGTGGGGACGCATCTGCGTGTATGTGTGACACAGGTGGGAAAGGTCTGGGCACCGGGATGGGAAATGAGAGCCCAAAGAGGGAAGACAAGGCACAGAGCGACTGTAATGAGGGAGGAAAATGGGGCGACAGTCAAAAGATGAGGAGAGGAAGGCAGGGGGTTAAATAAGACGATCAGGGTTTAGAGGGGTGCCGGTTTAAAAAGAGGAGAAAATATAAACAAATAAAAAGAGAGGAAAGGAACAGAAAAGGGATAAAAAGAGGCAAGGGGTGATAGAGAAAAAGAAGGAAGAGGAGAAAATGGGAATAGAGAGGGGAAGAGGGAAGGCAAAAGGGAGAAAGCGGGGAACGGAAAGAAAGCTGAGGAGACACTGAGCCCAAGTGTCCAAGTGGGAGGGAAAATACATGGGAGCAGAGAGCCAGCACTTTGGAAAAGTCGCGGATGCCGGAGTAAAACAGAAAGCAGCCTGATCAACTTGTCAGATACTCCCAGAGCAGCCCCCGACAGTAAAACAGAGACCCTGCGAATTGAGTTGCAAAGTGGCACCTGCCCCTCCTCTACACCTGACACTTCACTCATCCCCGAGCTACTCGGCGTTCGCAAAGTGCTTCAGCGGCACGCGGCCAGCTCGCTGCCTGCCCCAGCCTGAAGGGGCCGGGGCTCGGGGAAGCACCCGCACCTGGGTCGCTACCAGAGTAGGGTCTTTGCACGGTGAGCAATACCAGTATCCCTGCTCGGGCGCCAAAGGCAGGGCAAAGAGGGTGGAGAGGCAGACAGACACACAGACTGAGACAAGTACGAAAAGCACGTCGATCCTCCTACCTAAGCACCGCCGTGTCCCCTTTTCTGACCATCATGTTGTCCACGGCCGCCCAGGGGAAGTCCACACTCTGTCCAGCCGGGAGGCAGGAGGGCAGCAGGCAGCACAGGCTGAGGAGCACCGCCGCCAGCCACTGGTTCGAGCAACAAGCACCCTGCACCAACAGCATCATGTCCATCCCTGCTAGGGCTGCTCACTCTCCAGCAGCTCTCAGCTCGCACTCCCCCACCCCCTGGTGCTGGCGAGTCTTCCCAGGAACCAGGCTGCACGCCACAGGATTTTTTTTTTTTTTTTTGATGGGTGGGTGGGTTTCTTTGCTTTCTTTCTTCCCCCCTCCTAGTTGTTGGGTGTTGTTTCTCTGTGGCTTCTCTTTTTTTCTTCCTCTCCTCCTCCTCCTGTTCCTCTGCGTTTTCCCTCCCTCCCTCCCTCCCACCCCGTGGCTCCAGGCTACACCTCCTCTCGGTTGCTTTTGGCCGCGTCCGGAGTGTGTCTAATTCTCGGGCGGCTCGCACACCATCTAGCGAGGAGGCGAGCGCGCCGGCGAGTGAGGGAGGAGGCGCGGCGGCGGCGGCGGCGGCAGGGCGAGCGGCGGCGGCTGCAGCCCTCAGCAGCGGGAGCGGCGGCGGCGGCAGAAGCAGCGCGGGGCGCAGCGGCGGCCGGCGGCCCCCGGGCTCGCGCGCGTTGCCAAGCGGCCGTTTCCTTAGCAACCCCGCCCGGGGACTGGGATGGAGCGGGGTGGTTGAGGAGGGGGGAATAAAAAAAAGAAAGAAAGAAAAAGAAACAAAAATCAAGGAAATCTACCTCAGTTAACGCAAACTGAGGGAAAAAACAGCTGCGTCGTAGACTGGAGCGTTCCTTCCTGTCGCGGGCGCCACAGGGACGCTGTGCTGCAAAAGTCTCTGTTTCGGGCCTGAAGGGCTGACGGGGAAACGCTGAGGGGCGCTTTGCTTTCCCTCTCCGGTGCGTTTTACCTCTCGAGGCACCGTAAGTTTAAAGTCCTCCAAGTTGTAGTGGACGCCATCATGACGCGGGCGACCGTGAGTTTTTGTGTTTTGTGTAGTGAAAGCTCGCCCCGCGCTACAGTTAACAAGCTGCCAACTAGTTCTCTCTTTCCCCCTTTGCGGGAACAGGCAGGGACCGCGGCGGCGGCGGCGGCGGCGGCGGGGCGCTGTGTTTGGCAGGGTCCCGAAGGGGGTGCGAGGCCTTGTGGTAGAGCAGCTGGCGTCTTTTGGGTCCTCCCGCAGGGACTGGAGGGCGCCCGCCCCTTCTCTGCGCGTGTTGACACTAAGTTGCGTGTGTCTGTGTGTGTGTGGCGAGGGGTGGTTGTCAACATGGAGTGTGTGCGAGTGTGCGCGCGCGCTTGTCTGTGAGTGTGAGTGCGGGGCACGCGCGCCTCCGGGCCCGTGCGCGCTCCGCACGCAGGCGCGCTGGGAGGGACCGGGCGGGTCGTGCAGGATGCGGAGTCGGGAAGAGACTGCAATCAAGTGTTTTAATTGTGTAGAGCCAGGCAGTCCTGTTATGTAAGAAGCAGTTTAACCCCTTTGGAGCCCTCTCAGGCGGGATGTTCGCCGCATCCGAATTCGGGCAGGGCCGGCAGTTACCGGGTTGGGGGAGTCTTAGGGTTTTATTTTTTCTTTTAACAAGCTCCAAACCGGGTGGTACGGGGGTTGCATGTCGGCGGTGCAGAGCGGCGTGCCGCTCCCCATGCCGCAGCCCTTTCAAGGCTCGCCAGGCTGTCACGAGCCGCTGCGCTGGCCCGTGCAGAATAGGGTGCAGGACACCCCTGCCCCTTTTTTGCTTCTTCCCTTGAACTGATTTAAAGATTCAAGATCCTTAAGCTATTCCGGGCCATTTGCAAATCAATGATAGAACCTAGGCTGGAGTCGTTAGCAGTTACGCCAATCAATCTTGTTCAGTGAGGAGTTGGGGAAGCGGAGCGGGGAAGTGGCTAAGAGAAGCAAGTAATTAAAAAAAATAAATAAATAAACTCGGGACCCTCCCTCCCGCCCCATTCCTGTTGCCCTCCCGTCACCCATCCCCCCCTATGCAGTCTTTGAAAAACATTTTCTTCGTCTGACCCCAGTGCTTCTTCCCTTGGAGGGAAGATAGCAAAATCGTGCACATCCGAACTCGTTTTCCATAATGCTAGCAGGGTCCTTTGGCAAAGCGCACCGAAGCAATAATCTCTGCAGGGGTCAGCATCCGGCTTCCTCCCCAGACTGAGCTCTTTACGAGACAGGCAGGGAGTCGTTCTGCTAGGCGGTGATTTTTATCGCCCTGCTAGAGAATATATGGGGGAAAGGAAAGGGTTCCCATCACCTGGGACCACCCGGACCGTCTGATGGAAGAGCTCCTAACCAGCACCACCCCCCAGCTGAGCTGACCCTCTAAAGCTAGGCAGTTCATCCAGACGTTGGCAGCAGCAGTTACTGATGTTATTAAGTATTCAGCCTTAAACTCTCAGAACCGGCTCGGAAATTGAGAATGCAATAGTATTCAACCGCATTTTGAAACATCAATAAAATGTTAGTCATTTGCGGATGAATGAAAACATTTTCTTTACCGTCTGGTATGCTAGGGAAATAATTGTCAAATGACAGACTCCAGCTAATATTGATGCCAAATACCTAGATAACACTGTCATCTTGTTAACTGCATTTTCCGTTCTCCCGTGACACGCTGTTGGATAAAGCTTAAAACTATGTAGGGCAAAAGGAGGATTGGAAGAATTGGCATGCCACACGCATGGCCAAAACTATGCGGTATTATTTAGTGTTTTCCCTAGAAATTGAACTGGATCTCACCGAGGAGAGGCAGAAGGCATAGCTTCCGGATTTGTGACTCAGTTTGGTGCTGTTTTATGCAGGGATGGGGCCAGCGTTTTCTAGTACAAGCTAAGAAAAGCATCCTTTCCTAACTGCTGTTTCCCAGAGATCTGACATCTTCAGTGTCCACGGGGTGGGAGAGGGGAAAGGAGGAGGGATTTCTGTGACCAGGGAGGGATGGAGCTATGCAGCAGTTTTAATATGTACAGCAACCCTTCTGGCTTGAAAACGGAAACTGGAGCCAGTTCTATTTAAAGGCAAAGAGTTTCTTTTTCTTACCACCCCCCCCCTTTTTTTCGTAAATCTCAGCTTCCATTCACTGATCACTAAGCATTTAGCTCTTGCAGAACCCATCCTCCAAGGAAGCAATGACTAAGCTTAGTTTATGGAAGCATGAACTATTGGAGAGGTTCAAGTGAGTACAAGAATGTTGGGTGGAGCAGCCTCTCTTTACGCTATGTGCTACTGCTGTCTTTCTGACTACAGAGGAAAATGATTTTAAAAGCTTTTATTACTTTTTTTCCCCCTCAACCTTTCTAGGGGCATATATCTGAGAGTATTTTACAGGGTTTGCAATATTTGCTTCTGAGGTCCTAGAGATCTGTCAAGCAACGACATAAATCCTAGCATTCTTGGCTACTCTGGGGAGAAAACTAGAAAAAAAACCAAACCACAACAAAATGAAACAATGGAAACCTCCCAGGTGAAATAGCATAATTGCAGTGTTATTTTGATTCAGATTCAAGAATAAGTGACAGCATTATTTTGGACTTTATAGTTGGTGAAGTTTGGAGTGGATGCATTGAGATTTTTTGGAACTAACATTGGCACAATCACCACTTCCTTTTAATCATGAATCATTCTTTAAAGCTCAATTTCTAATATTTAAAGAAATGTGATAATAGTATGAAGTTCAATGGGGAAAAGAAAAGTGACCAAGGCCTTGTAGCTAAGGGGTTAGAGCATTGGTCTTGTAAACCAAGGGTTGTAAGTTCAATTCTCACCTTGTCCTCAGACCTCAGTTTTCAGTCCTAGTCCTTAGGACAGTTCTAGTCCTTGGTTTCCAAAGAAAGGTGGAACCTGACTCTGATAGCTAGTTATTCCATTATATAAACTGGTTTACACTTGTCTTTCATGTTTTATGAGCTGTATTTTCAATCCCTCAAGCTTGTTGGAAAGGGAATGTTCCAAGGCACTTTAGCTTCCTTAGTTTAATAAGCTCAATGTTTACTGCACCATGTAAATAAGATTATTATGGGAAAATTAGGTATGAAATTTGCATTTGTTTTTTAATGATAAATGAGTAAAACTAATTTTATCTCCCATATTATTACTATCTGTGCATGAGAAATGTTAGGCAGGACAGAACTCATGGAAAGGACCAATGAGAGCACTTTGTAATTCCTTAAGGAGCCCTTATAGATAGGACACATGAATAATAGCTCTCTAACTTAATTCATATTTGATTCAATATTTGAATTAAATTGGCTTATTCTTGGAGTACCTTGCCAACCAAAACTGATTTTTTTAACTTTTATTTAATGAATATAAATTTCCAAAGTACAGCTTATGGATTACAAAGGCTCCCCCCCCCCATAACTTCCCTCCCACCCGCAACCCTCCCCTTTCCTGCTCCCTCTCCCCTTCCATTCACATCAAGATTTATTTTCAATTCTCTTTATACACAGATCAGTTTAGCATATATTAAGTAAAGATTTTAACAGCCAAAACTGATCTTTAATGCTGGTTTTTCAGGTCAATGTGAGACTACAAAACTCAGGAAATTTGTTGGAAGAAAGAGAATCTACCATTACAGAAGGGTTTGTCTGCCTAGACTTTTGACATTTTGTGCCAGGTAATTGATGTAGGGACTTCCCTGTGTGTTGGAAAATGTTTAGCAATATTCCTGGTCTCTACTCGCTAGATGCCAATAATACCAGTAGATGTCAATAGTTGTGATGAACAGAATTTCTCCAGACATTGCTAAATATCATATGGATTGGGGAGGGGAAAATTGCATACCATTCCATTATAGGTTACATTCCTAAAAAATTATGTGCTATCCTCTGCTTTTCAAATAAAATGAAAAGCAAATTTGTGGTCGAAAAAGGAACTTCTTTGAATTCTGTAGCTTCAGAAACAGCTCCTCCTCATCAGTTTACTCTCTACATTTGTCTGATACGTGATTACATAATTTAGATGCACTGAATTTAGTGACCAATCTTAATGAAACATCTATGATTTTTTCTGTGGAGTGTAGGAGACTTGCTAAAAGAACATTATATTATTTTTTAAGATTTATTTATTTATTTGAAAGGCAGAGTCACAGAGAGACAGAGGTAGAGAGAGAAAGGTCTTCCATCCTCTGGTTCACTCCCCAGATGGCCACCATGACCGGAACTGAGCCAATCCAAAACCAGGAGCCATCAATTTCTACCAGGTCTCCCATGTGGGTGCAGGGGCCCAAGGAAATGGACCATCTTCCACTGCTTTCCCAGGCATAGCAGATAGCTGGATTGGAAGTGGAACAACTGGGACTAGAACTAGTGCCCATATGGGATGC